TGTGTGTGTGTGTGTGTGTGTGTGTGTGTGTGTGTGTGTGTGTGTGTGTATATATAACCAACAGCCAGGGAGGGCGAGCTTTTAAAAAGATTTGCAGTAATGTTTTGTTTGTAGGAAGCCAATTATGTGCGCGTTCTTCATGGGAAGTGTGTGAATTTTTGCGGGTCATCCGGTGAAGAAGTCCCAGATGTGCCATTTACATATATATATATATTTTTTTTCAACCTCTACTTTCTAACCCGTGAACGTCTCTCACACTTCATCGTCATTATCGTCATGAATGAAGGTGGCCAGGATAGCATTGTGATAGCGATTCGTTGTGAATGGGACCCGGGGTTGCGGCCAAAATGAAAAAAAGAAGGATGAGTCCCAACTGGTCTATCTATCATATATACACGTCTGGTTAACTTCCCCAGCTCAGATAAAGAGCAGCACACAGCTTCTCTTCGGGACTGGCTCTCATGCAGTGGATGAGTCAGGGCTGGATAAACCTCTGCCCAGATGACTGCGGTTGATACAAGATGATTCACTTCATGCTGCATATTTGTAGCGTAGAGCTTTGGAGAAACAGCAGTTGCTGAGCGTTCAGAGCAAAAGAAAAAAGGCACTACATTAAACTAGAAGGGCAATCGGAGAGCGCGGACCTCCGCCAGGGCCTTGCACTCTCTTGCAATGTTTAAGAAAGTCATTAAAAAAATTGCGTATCCGCTACGAGATTGTGATCCGCTACTAAATTTAATGGGTTCTTCTTTTGGCCCACGCTACACTGTCCCACCAATTTTCCTGAAAATCAGGCCAGTTTGTTTTCCCGTAACTCTGCTGAAAAAACAAACCAACAAACAACCGAAATCATAGCCTCTTAGGAAGAGGTAATAAATGGTGTTTGTTGGACGAAGGAAGTACAGTTTGAACGTGTCTGGGATCTTTGAGGCTTATCAGACGCCAAATGTCTAGATATTGTTTTATTTTTTTTACAGCGATTGGGTTCCATCCATGCTGGGGTGACGAGAGGTAAACAGTACACCATTGTCATTCCGACAAAATAATCTCCCTACAATGTGCTTAACAACACTAAGCCAGGTTTTTACTAGGGGTGGGTATCACCAGAGGTCCCGCGATACAATATTATCACGATACTTAGGTCACGATACGATATTATCATGATACTGCGATATTATCACGATACTGCGATATTCTGAGTATTGTGATAACATATATTGCGATTTATTACTTTTTTCAACTTCAAATTATGTTCCCAAAGGAAAACTGTGTCAACATGTTTTATCTAATAAGTAGTGCTGGGCAAGTTAACGCATTAATTTCGCGTTAACGCATTCATTAATTAATGCCGACAATTATTTTATCGCGCGTTAACGCATTTTTAAAATTTATTACATCCTATAGTCAGTAATTTTAGTGCACCTATATGCTGAAATTCACGGTAAACGCATTTAAACGGCACAGATCGGGAGCGAGCGAAGGACTTTGAAAGTTAGCGGAAAGATTAACGCGAGACAACATACGGTTTCTTCAGACGAACATCCCGTTTTCAGAATAAGATGCCAACAAAGTATGAATTATATTCACATTAAGTATAAAACATGCTACCTGCATCTCGTGAACCAAATGTTATTGCCCTTTTGTTCATATAGCAGTACTTTTAAAATAAAAGTGTGCAATACACTACTTTTGAATTCGCAAGATTAATCGCAAAAAATCCATGCGATTAATCGCGATTAAATATTTTAATCATTGCCCAGCACTACTAATAAGATAAAGTTTTGAGTCTGTTCATCTCACTTCAATCATTTTTATTGCAGAAAAATGGAGATTCCCCCACAATGTCAAGACATGTTAGGTTGCATGAATGTGAGTGTGAATGTCTGTCTCAGTCCTGCCAGAGTCTGGATCCCTGTCCCTGGGGGAATCTCCATCGCCCAGATAGAACCCACTGACGCCAACACGGGGAGAACATGTAAACACCACACAGGAGGGCCTTCCTGGTAGGTGACTGTGCTAGCCACAGCACCAGCGTGCCAACGAGATGGAATGCAGGGTATCCTCTACCCACAGAGGTGAAGCACCCTGGCCTACACCTCTGCGGTCTGGAGGTCTGTGGCATTCCATTCCATCTAAGGAATCTGGTGGACCCAACTCACTGGATCAGTGAATCTTAGACTTACTTATAAACTCTGTTAACCTAACATGTCTTGACATTGTGGGGGAATCTCCATCGCCCAGATAGAACCCACTGACGCCGACACGTGGAGAACATGTAAACTCCACACAGGAGGGCCTTCCTGTGTGGTGACTGTGCTAGTCATAACTCAGTATAACTTGCGATGCGTGGACGTCAAGGGCAGAGAGACAGTTATGCGCTGCACTCTCCCAATGAGCCTGGCTACTGTTGGCAGATTTAACCCCGTTGTGAGGCCAGATGTCTCTATCTTTGTTTTGACCAACTTCCAACCCTTATGATGCGTTATGATGAAAAAACATA